GGGGGGGGTATCCGATGTGAATGTCTGTTCACTCTGGTTATATTCGGAAATTACATTTTACACCAGGCTTCCTAGTGAAGGACTAAATTTTTTCAAATAGATTTCACTGTAAAATGTTCGTGTATTTGTCTTTCTTAGATGATCTGGTCTCATACTGCGGTGTAAAATTTATTTGTATCCATGTTACTATTTTCGGGAGATTATATCACAGCAATATACTAGAAATAATCAGACCCAAGTTTTATGGTAACGCTTTTGGATTTTAATTTCAAATTAAAGACATATTTTACACAAGAAATTTGTGAGAAAATGTTTAATAATTTGATAATAAAACCCAGCAGATATTGCTGAAGAAGTGGGTGGTGTTTGACGGTGTTGTTCATTGGAGAAGACATTCAGTAGCATTGGTATGAGGAAATTATGCAACATTTATGTAAAATCAGTCATAGATAATTACAAAAAACGTCAATGTCACTTGTATAGGTTTTGGTATATAGACAATCCTCTCGAAATATCATGTGGTTTGAAAACTTATTTATCATACAACATATCCAGTGCTCAATCTCTTAACATAAGCACCCTAATCCTTTTCTTCTCAGAGTAGTTTACAGGCTTCCTTTCACCAAGATTTAATGTCAACTAACTTTAAAAAGGCGTCTTAATTGGATGTAGGGATATTTAGTTCATTCAAGACTCAGTGACCTAGATATATCTACCTGGAAATCAATAATGCTAAGGACATGTGGTTCACCTTGACCTGTTCAATCAGTAAGACTTAAGTTTTTGTAGCTCACTGTGACCTACTTAATCAGAAAAATTTAAGTTGGGTGGATTAATGTGACCTACTTAATTAGTGTGCTTAAGTTTGGTGGATCACTGTGACCTACTTAATCAGAAATATTTAAGTTGTGTGGATTAATGTGACCTACTTAATTAGTTGTGCTTAAGTTCGGTGGATCACTGTGACCTAATTAATCAGAAATATTTAGGTTGTGTGACTCACTGTGACCTACTTAATCAGAAATATTTAAATTGTGTGTATTAATATGACTTACTTAATTAGTTATGCTTAAATTGGATGGATCACGTGCACTGTGATATACTTAATTATAAATATTTAGGTTGTGTGGCTTAATGTGTCCTACTTATCAAAAAACTTCAGTTGTATGGATTAATGACCTACTTTATCAGTGAAACTTAATTTGTGTGACTTGCTGTGACCTACTTAATAAGTAAAACTTAAGTTTTGTAGCTCACTGTTACTTATTTAGCTCACTGACTTAGTTTATGAATAATAAATGAGTTAACTGGCTCACTGTGACCTACTTAATCAGAAATATTTAAATTGTGTGGCTTAATGTGACCTACTAAATTAGTTATGCTTAAGTTGGGTGGCTCACTGTGACCTACTTAAATAATAATATTAAGTTCACGTGGATAACTGAGATTAACTAGGTCACCAAGACTTAATTAATTGGTGATACTAGGGTAATGTTGATCACATCCCTAATTGATCATGAACAGCTAGAATATAAAACGACCATGTGGGTTTTCTCCAGGTGCTCTGATTTCATCCAACATTCAGACACTCCTCGCGCTAACATCCCGGCCAACAAGAGTGATTAATATAAGTTGAAATAACTTGTGTCCTATTTGTTGTAAAATAAATTAAGTATATATATTTTATATCATGTAGATCACTTTGACCTGATTATCCGGGATGCTTAAATTGTGTTGGTCGCTATGACCTATATTTGATGTATTGATGTGCCTTTCGGGTCACTAAAAGATAGATTAACTCCCTGGTTAATAGATAAAACAGCTTTCCTGTGAGTCGTTTTGGACTAGATATATTTCATTGGCCCGATGGATTGACATGGCAGTTACCCGCAAATACTAAATCAGCGGGAACTTGCCCTAATTTTGTTGAGATATGGATTAATTCCGAGTCCGAATGTGGCAGGCACTTTATTGTGCTCCATGGCTATATATGTATGTGTCCTGTTGCCGTTCACTCTTCTGTATCAGCTCTTCATGGGATACATTACATGTATTAACAAAGGTGGCCTTTTTAATTAGTGGCCATTATTTCATTATCCGGAAAAAGTTTTTTCTTTTTTTTTTCTTCATCTGTATTTAAAAAGCTTTTATACATGATATGTATACTTCAAAGGTGAGATAACTCACAAATAGCATTGGACATCAGACAGTTTACAGTATCCTCAGCTTACCGGACACGGAAAGTGCCGGTGGAGCTAATATACTGCGGCCTGTGGCTATAGCTCTTCATCCATTTTATGTCATTGTCATCATCAAGTCATGTTTGTACATCAGACTTTTTTATTTCTAATATTAACCCGACAAAAATTGAGGGAAAAAAATAGAAATGTGCTAGGTGAGCAATTATAGGCCCTTTGGACATGTTGTATTGTAATATTGTGAAATTATAAATGTTTAACTGGGAAAATAATATTATGAAATTGTTATATTACTCCCGTAATTAGGAATGTAACAAAAAGACTTAACGTATAAAATGTCAGAGGAGTAGCAAGGATTAATCTAACTTGAATTATGTGATAATGATGGAATAATGTTAGGTCACTACTTATCCGCGTGACAATGTGAGGGTCAAGGTCATAATTACATTTCCCATTGACAGTAACGCTTTGATGAAGTTTGTGTGGCTTATTACAGTAGTTTTAGTCGGGAGTTGGTGTTCTATATCTTAAACTGTAGATAACATCATGTTGAATGTTTGGTTGCGCTTTTGGGAAAGGACATCTGTGCAATTTCTTCCGTAGTGCCAGCGGTGTGAGTCTGCTACAGCTTTATAACGACATCACCGTCTGTGAATCTCGGTCACGTAGCTCGGTACAAAAATGTCATATCGGAAAAAATAAAAATAAAAATGGTAGCTCATATTTTCTGTCGAACAAATTTTCTTGTCATTTTAAGTTCAAATATAAACCATGTATTTTCTATGAGAGCATTTCTACAGTATATGCATTTCGTGCTTGATATTAAATTACATATCTTCATGAAGAATTTCACTATTACAAATCACTACCATTCATTCCTTTAGTCATCTTACATCTGGAGAACAATAGAAATAAACAGCTTACAATTTATCAATCTTTATTTTCATAACTTCATTTAACCATTTCTTTATGTAAGTTTTGATTTGCTTGCCTTGATAGCTGTCTTTTCTTCATAATGTTCTTAGCTAGCACATCTCTATAATTAACAATTTATATTCTTTCAACTGTTACGTTATATCACATTCCAATCGATTCATATGCAAAACTTTTTGTGAGTTCGAAGTTCTTACTTTTGTATCATATTTGACAAAATAAGTGCCCTGGGGGCTTATCAATTTTTTGAAAAATTAAAATAATTAAGAAACTTTCCAAAATTCTCTTAAAATTAGCTGTCATAGGCACTTTTTCAAAAAAGTAAATAAGTTATGTTGAAGGGAATGGATGCTCCAGACAAATGAAAGGGGATTCTTTTGGCAGATGGGCACTTATGGGGTCATATATGGTACATGTGGGAACTTACACAAATAAACTTTATAAAGCTAAGAATAAAATGTGAATTTTTGAATTGTTGAATTGACATTTCTGGAAATTGTTAGGTCCTATAATAATAATAATAATAAATGTTACATTAATTGTCATGCGGAATCCGCGAATGCGGCGATTCAACTCGTCTCACTTTTATTGCACTGCGCCAAAAAATAAACCCAGAATACATCATCAATACAAATCCATAAGAAATTCAAGTCAACAGAAATAACTAAATTTGTATTTGTATTTTTACGACTTTTTTCGCTGTTATTAGCTTTAGCCTGTGAAATACTTGGCACATTTTGATATTGTTTTGATAATTGTTTTCAATCTTTTTTTATCTTTCAGTCCACAAACGCGCACAAGTTTAAACTGCACACGTATGGCAGTCCGACGTTCTGTGACCACTGTGGGTCCCTGCTCTACGGTCTCATACACCAGGGACTCAAGTGTGATGGTAGGTACATCAATCATCTTGTTACCATAACGACAACAGTCATTGTCTGCTGGTGGACACCAACTCCTCTTTGTCCCAATTTACCATGTCACAGCTCCTCAGTGTGAGGGGTGACGGAAAGTCAAGGAAAATGAAAGCTAGAAAGGATGCTTCATTTTTTGGAGATTCATTCTAGACACTATTCAATGGTATATATAATGTCACCAGGGTAAAATGGACAAATAATGGCGTCTGGGCCACAGGAACTTTTCAATGTCCACTTAACTACCATGTTAGGGAGCGGCTATCCATCGACTAATGTTCCTCCATGTCTGAAGAGTGCTGACGGCATTGTCAGTCAGTTCAATTAAACAATTCTGTGATAATATTTCCATGAGTGTCAAATTTGTCCAAAAAATGGATTTGTGCGATCTTGATTTGTGTCCTATATTCCATTCTGTACTTCAGCAGAAGTAATTTCCCACAGAGATTATAATTTAAAGTTTCCCTTTCATAATTTGCATACATTCTGATGTCTAGCAAATGGCTTCTCCAAATGTTGTTGCGAGGATGTAGCTGTAGTTTGGAATAAAGTAATGTGCTGTACTGTCTGTGTAATAGAATCTTTTCCTTTCTTCGAGTTACAGCGAGTCTTACAAAAAACAAAACATCTAAACATATTGACTGAGAATTTCAGCAATGCAAGACAAATGAAGTACCGAGGTACTTAGTATAAGTTCTATTAAACAATTGAGGTGAATTATTGTGGAGTTCAGGCACTGCGGAGGCTGGATTAGGTCGTAATGTGTCTTCCATGCAGAGGCAGGGCTGGGAGATCTGTGACGATCTGGGCCTTTATGAGTGCCCAGGGAGATACGTGAGGATAACTTATTTGCTGTACCAGTATTGGCTTTTTTTTTACCACTGTATGTACGAGAAAGGTTTTGCCATACGACCAGTGCCACCACAGTATGTGCGAGAGAGGTTTTGCCTTACGACCAGTGGCACCACTGTATGTACGAGAGAGATTTTGCCTTACAACCAGTGCCACCACTGTATGTACGAGAGAGATTTTGCCATACGACCAGTGCCACCACAGTATGTGCGAGAGAGGTTTTGCCTTACGACCAGTGCCACCACTGTATGTACGAGAGAGATATTGCCTTACGACCAGTGCCACCACAGTATGTGCAAGAGAGATTTTGCCTTACGACCAGTGCCACCATTGTATGTAAGAGAGAGATTTTGCCTTACGACCAGTGCCCCCACAGTATGTGCAAGAGAGATTTTGCCTTACGACCAGTGCCACCATTGTATGTAAGAGAGAGATTTTGCCTTACGACCAGTGCCACCATTGTATGTAAGAGAGAGATTTTGCCTTACGACCAGTGCCACCATTGTATGTAAGAGAGAGATTTTGCCTTACGACCAGTGCCACCATTGTATGTAAGAGAGAGATTTTGCCTTACGACCAGTGCCACCATTGTATGTAAGAGAGAGATTTTGCCTTACGACCAGTGCCACCATTGTATGTAAGAGAGAGATTTTGCCTTACGACCAGTGCCCCCACAGTATGTGCAAGAGAGATTTTGCCTTACGACCAGTGCCACCATTGTATGTAAGAGAGAGATTTTGCCTTACGACCAGTGCCACCACATGATGTACGAGAGAGATTTTGCCTGACGACCAGTGCCACCACTGTATGTACGAGAGAGATTTAGCCATACGACCAGTGCCACCACAGTATGTACGAGAGAGATTTTGCCTCACGACCAGTGCCACCACAGTATGTGTGAGAGAGATTTTGCCTAACGACCAGTGCCACCACTGAATGTAAGAGAGAGATATTGCCTTACGACCAGTGCCACCACTGTATGTACGAGAGAGATATTGCCTTACGACCAGTGCCACCACTGTATGTAAGAGAGAGATATTGCCTTACGACCAGTGCCACCACAGTATGTGCAAGAGAGATTTTGCCTTACGACCAGTGCCACCACTTTATATGTACGAGAGAGATTTTGCCTTACGACCAGTTCCACCACTGTATGTACGAAAGAGAGATTTTGCCTTACGACCAGTGCCACCCCTTTATATGTACGAGAGAGATTTTGCCTTACGACCAGTGCCACCACTTTATATGTACGAGAGAGATTTTGCCTTACGACCAGTGCCACCACTTTATATGTACGAGAGAGATTTTGCCTTACGACCAGTTCCACCACTGTATGTACGAAAGAGAGATTTTGCCTTACGACCAGTGCCACCCCTTTATATGTACGAGAGAGATTTTGCCTTACGACCAGTGCCACCACTGTATGTAAGAGAGAGATTTTGCCTTACGACCAGTGCCACCACAGTATGTGCAAGAGAGATTTTGCCTTACGACCAGTGCCACCACAGTATGTACGACCAGTGCCAATAGCAGTTAGACTTTGACATTTTTCACGTTTTGCCGTGATGTTGTAAATTGTCCTTCCTTGTGACATGCAGTGGTGTGTTCAGTGCCTAGCTGTGTCACGCAAACTGGGGTCTTCACAGGAAATGAACAGACACTCCAAAAATATATCATTCCATAATTGTATGAAAAACTCTTTAGTTGTTTTAACTTTTTTTTCATTTGTGTTAAAAACGTTTAAAGGTGTATATAATTGCAGTGATGTATGAGAATTTACGATAGCCAGTTACCTCAAATGACCTTGACACTTTGTCTTCGGTGAGAGTAGGAGATATATATGTCTTCCTTAAACTTTGTATAGTCGTGACATTTATTTATAATTAGCATATTTATCTCCCGAAGTGATGACAGTTTTTGTCTTGAAATGGTGTCATTATGAAAACACTAGCAGATAGCTGTAAACAGATTAGAATAACCACCCTCATCACTCAGTTCATGTGAGTTAACAAAATGACTACATCCATAGTTATATTCGGGATGTGATCCTTCAGTTTGGTAGGAACACAAACAGACTCCATCTATTAGTTTGGTGACTTATTTCTATTTTTGATTTTTTTTATTTTTCCTGAAAAGAGTAAACTTAGCTCAAGTTTTCTGTTTAGTTTTCATTCCATATAATATAATATTTACCATCGTATGACATTGCCACTATATAACCCTACCAAATTCAGTTGGCATTCATATAGGCTGTGAATACTATGGACGGATTGTTGATGTCATCATTATTTTAATATTATGACATCATAATCGTTATGTTAGATAGCAACTAAAAGCAGTTCAATGCTTAAATGAACTTTGTATAATTCACCTTAGGCTAATGGCCAGCTAGTATTACATTATTAATATGTGGAGTTGTTTCCATGGGATGGTTATGGTGTTTCATTCAGTTATTATATTATATTATATCATTAGGCCAGTTTGGGGTTTCATTTAACTGTGGACAAGGTCTGTTAATTTCCAGAGCTGTTGAGGTGAGCTGATAGATGAGATGTCCTGCTGACTCGTTGATATATAGTCGGTATATAGTATATTTGATACAGGTGCTAAATGAAAAATTCAAATGAGTGGTGGCGATTCAATGGATTAGCAATATGAAAGCGCTATGTTGACAGTAGTGTAACTTCCTGGTGCAATGATTTACGGCTACGTTTTTTACGGATATTACGTTTTTTTGCAATGGAAATCCATTTTTATTAAATAATTCATACAGAAATACAGGCACTGTGACTGGTCGCTGTCATTGATTTTCAACACTTCATCACATCTCTCTGTAAACGTTACCCATTTCAATATTTCTTAGATATTAACACTATTTTGAAAAAGGTATGCAATTTTAGATAAATTTTTAATGAAAATTAAGGCAGGAGCATGTTTTTAACATGTTATGTATTATTTTGTACAGTAATGGTTCCCAACCCGCACTAGACTCATTTGCATTATGGTGTCAACCCTAAATTTTTATCGACTTTCAGAAAGCTTAAAAAAAAACACCCAGTATATACAAGATGGTTCTTTGCAGAGATACCAAGTAAAGGAAATAATATCATGATATGGAGTTTAGTAGCCTGTAAACATATTTAAATTATTTTTCAGATTTGATTTTTTTCCAGCCAATCGTCTTCATATGGTGGGCTGTTCAAATCACTGTCAGTTAGTCTGTCAATTGGAGTCTGCCTATAAATATGTGTTTTAATGCTACTCCTCAAAAACTGTTTAAGGGATAATAACAAAACTTGATACATAATCCTCTGTGTCCCTAGTGTATACTCAAATTTGAGAACAGTTAGAAAAACAAAATGGCTGCTTTGCAGTCATCTTGGATTTTGCATGTCAAGTTTGGCACTGCTATTTCTCAGGGCGAGCCAAAAGAGATCATGGCAAAAAAAAAAGTTTGCATGATCCCCTTGTTTCTGTAGTTCAGCCAGCTTCAAATTCAGAAGAATCACAAAAAACAATATCTCCATCAGGGAATCTTGTATTGTGTATTTAGGTAACGTTACTGCTTCTTTGAAAAAGTACTTCAAGAATCATGATGGCTTTGATTTGCACGATTCCCTTTGTCTCTAGGTGTGCTTGATCTAGCTTTAAACAAACTGGTCAAAGATCAGGTTGCCTTTGCCTCTAGGTGTGCCTGATCTAGCTTTAAACAAACTGGTCAAAGATCAGGTTGCCTTTGTCTCCAGGTGTGCCTGATCTAGCTTTAAACAAAATGGTCAAATATCAGGTTGCCTTTGTCTCCAGGTGTGCCTGATCTAGCTTTAAACAAAATGGTCAAATATCAGGTTGCCTTTGTCTCCAGGTGTGCCTGATCTAGCTTTAAACAAACTGGTCAAAGATCATGTTACCTTTGTCTCTAGTCGTGCTTGATCTAGCTTTAAACAAACTGGTCAAAGATCATGTTACCTTTGTCTCTAGTCGTGCTTGATCTAGCTTTAAACAAACTGGTCAAAGATCAGGTTGCCTTTGTCTCCAGGTGTGCCTGATCTAGCTTTAAACAAACTGGTCAAAGATCAGGTTGCAACTTCAATGTTTGCTCTCTGTGCTACTTGTCATCTGTTTGTCC